GATTCTGTTTCCGAAGTTTTGAAGGCAGAGCTGGTTTAGTGAAAATCCCAAAAGTTCCCGCCACTTTGGAATTTTGTCAAAATTGCATGCAATTTATACAGGATTCCAAATTCCAAAAATGKGGGGAAAATATGTAAGTTGAGCTGGCAGTCTGTGTCTTTTGTACCACTGAAAGTGATTCCCGAAAACATATCGGAAAATATGTTATCGGGAATCACCCAATACCTTCAGCAGAAGAAAATGCCGTGTTATTTTTTTCAATTCTCTACTCCGAAGTACAGTAGCAACATACGTAGTTTCCTACTGTTTCTATTTTTTACGGCACCATACGGTACGGTGGTGATTCAGCGTACAGGTACATGCCGTTAGTTTGCGAAAGCTATGGATATTTAAAAAAATACCCGCCTCACCTCCGTTCAAACGCATAGTGAATTGAATCCATCGAGGATCAGTGTCGTACTCGTACTCGTACTCGTACCTCCAACACTCACATTACAATTAAGAAGTCATAACATTGTCGAAATACTCCAGCATTCAAACAACCCTATTAAGATGATGAAAATTCAACTGCTCTGCCTTATCGTTCTCAGCATTGCATCATTAGCATCTGGTGCGGGCCTACGTGGAACCGGGACCGCTGCCGCCGACTTCGAGGAGGAAGCTGGACTATCCGAACAGGACATCGATGAGCGGGCCGAATTCGATCCCGAGGATATCGAAGAAGAGATTGAAGGCCGTGACCTTCAAAAGAAAAACTATTACAATAACAACTACCATGGTAACAGTTACTACTACGAGGAGTATCACAACGGCAATCGCAACAGAAACTGGAACCACAAGAATAATGGAAACTGGAACTACAAGAATGACTGGAATAACAACAAGAAACATGGAACCTGGAATCACAACAACAAACATGGAAACTGGAATAACAACAAGAAACATGGAACCTGGAGCAACAACAACAAACATGGAACCTGGAGCAACAACAAACACGGAAACTGGAACAGTAAGCATGGCTCATGGTGGTGGGCTTTCTAAGGAACGATCGTTTCGTTCCAAAAGCACCTGGTATGAATCGGAAAACTCTGTGGTGCACTGGGTATCTACCTATCATAGTGTGTCACCATCAGCTGCATCTTTCGGCCATTGGAACGGATTGCAACTTTCTGTATTGTTTACATAGTATTATACGTACTACGAGTATTTTTTTAATGCATCTATGCATGTAATGAGTGGAGATGAGTGTGCATCCACCGTTTATAATTTATATAATCCTAGTTTATGAAAATGATTCGAATATACTTTTCTCACAATACAAGCTACAACAAGGCGAACTATGCCAGACTCTCGACGCCCGCCCGCATCCCAAGATTTAAAGCTGCTGGTGTGCACGAACTACTGATATCGACCACACTCGATCAGAATAGTTGTTGTTTCAAAGAACGCAACGAGGACTATTTCAAAGAACGAGAAATTTCATGACTTTATTTCAAAAAAATGCGTCGATAAAAGCGACGCAATTGAAACAATGAATTGATCAAGCGATCCACAATACAAATGTCTCATCATRAAATGGTTTTTGATGTGTTTTTCAATAACGTTTGATTCAATTTGATATGATTTGATTCCATTCGTTCGCTGCTACGATCAGTGTTCTATATATACCGGTTGACTATGGTGCGGTTTTGCTAGGTGCGGGTACGTCTCTTGCTTCCTCGGATGGCAGCGTTCCCACTACCACAACGGGCCTGACGGCACGAACCAATCGCAGAATGCGTTCCACCAGTTCGAGAGAATCCTCCCGAACGAGCCCGTGCGTAGAGGGTTCGTTTCCGTTGTCGGTGGTAGAGTTGCCAGCGATAACGGCTCGAACCGTCTCGAGGTCTGTTTCCAGGAGCCGTTCGTAGACTATGGTTTGGATCCTCCTTGCTCCGGCTCTGGGACCTATCATTCGACTCGCAAACGCACCAATCTGGGGCAGCTTATCACACTCGTTGGTTTTTCTTAAATCTTCGTCGTTGCCGTAGTTGTTGCTGTGGCTGCATTCTTTGTCAAAGGTCTCCAAGACAGAGCTACGGAAGGACGGCTGTATTCCCGCTCGGTACACCATCGCCAGGGATTTGGAAGACAATCCAGCAGCCGCGGGAGCCACCAAACCATGGTGCCGGGATTGGGGAAGAATGACAAAGCTTGCCGTCGCGTTGTCGTAGGCTGGGATATTAGTTCCGGAGCCTCCTTCGGCATCGAGATTCAACACACCGGAATCGCTAGAGAGGAGAATCGCCCGGAGGGAACGGACCTTTTTTTCCAGTGCATCGAGCAGTGCCGATGGATCGAGGGTGGCCTTGGCTTCCCATACCTCATCGATGACCATGGTGCGTTGACCATTGCAGTCAGTAGTGAGCTCGATACCGGAATCGTTCTCCTCTTCTCCAACGATACGAACCACCATGGCGTCGTATTCGGTGGTGGTTCCCATAGATACTGCGTGGGAAGGAAGGATTTTGAGGCCGCCGGTGTCTTGGGCCTCGTTTCTTCGTTCCGGAAGTTCCAGGACACAGCGACATTTCCCCTTGGTGTTGCGACGGTTTTTGGCACGGTGGCGCACCCACACCGGAGCCAACACCCGCTGTCTGGGGCACGGCAGTGCGCGGGTTTCCTCTAAGAACGCGGAAAGGTCGCGTTCTCCCTTCTTGCCCACCGAGAGGCCCCCGTCGCTCGTCTGTGAGGTAGCCCAATTTGCTGGCGAAGACGACGAAGAAGAAGCAGCATTGCCGACAGGTAGATCGCAAACGGCCCGCAACAGATCGAGCTGTTCCCTTCCTACCGTCGGTAGAGACGCAAACGCAGGTATTTTCTGGCTTGTGCCCGACTCGTGTTCGTCGCCAACGAACTGCTCCACAGAAGAGGCATCGCAATGGCGATGGAGACGATTCTGGAAAGACTCTTCCAGTTCGTCCACAAACCAGCCTATCAGTTCCAGATCATGGTGTTCACGGTCCTCGCCCTTGCTTTGATCTCCAACAATTTCGTCGTACAGAGCGATCATGTTCAGCTTCGAATTCAAATCCTGTCTCCCGGAAACGGGACGACTCTTTTCCGGATGCACGTCTTGATCGGGCCCGTCTGTGGTAAAACCATCGGTGCTTGTCATCGGAGCCGTGGCCGCGGTGCGAGAGAGGCGGCAGTGCTCTTCCAGAAGGGCCCGAAAATCCCCCTTGAAGGCCCGACCACTCGCCAGCCTGGACAAAAACTTTTTGGGATGGATGGTTGCATTGGCATGCCCGTAGCGGTACATGCCGAGGATGGTCTCCGTGAATCCCGGAGCCGCCTGCTCGGCAATGCCCTCTGTTTGCCACCACCACTGGTTTGTCACGAGAGGCTGCTGCTCACTGCCACTCGTTGTTTCGGGCTCGCTGGCGAAATTGTAACTAGCGGTGGGGTGGGAATCGAAGAGTGTGTGTTCCTCACCAAACAAGAGGATCCGAGTCAACTTCCATCTCCTGCGCACTTCGATTGACCGCAGCCAGTGCTGCAGGTCGGACTTGGAAACCACCAGCTCCGGGTGTTGACCACCTTCCCTGTCACGGGGATGGTGATTCAGGATGCACCGCACCATGGATTTGAGGTGGCGAGGTTGCAGGTACTGCAGCGAAAAACGTGGTGGCTCGTTGGATTCTCGTTCACCGGAACCGAGATGGCGCTGAACGTCTTGGTAGTAATCGATCAGATCGCGGTGGTCCAGGACCTGAAGGTGGTCGCCGAAGCGATAGTGCTTTCTGGTGTTGGGCTCGTTCCCTTCCCGGCCCTCGCTATTCTGTTTGGGAACATCGGTGCCGTTCCCCATGGGATGATTGCCGAGTTTGTCTTCAATTTTGTCTTTGTCGTCTCTTCTTGCGTGTTTCGTAGCCAGGAGATAGCGACAACCACGTGGATGCGGGCAATATTGGACGTTGTCGCCCGAGCAAACGCGGCGTTGTTCTTTGTTGCGGAATGGCAAGTTCGCAAATCGTCTTCCCGGTCGAGAGGTGAAAGTGGCGGTGCGTGCTGGCCTTCCCCGACCGAGTCCCAACACCGCGGACACCAATCGATTCTTCCAGCCTAGTCGAAGGAGCGGCAGAAAGACGACTACGAGCAGAAAAGCACACAGCGCAAGGGGAAGGTGTTCCAGCCTCGGTCGGGCAACGCTCATTCGTTGCAGGGAGTTTGTGTTTGTGGTTGCGGTTTTTGTCGCGTTCTGTACTGCGTTCGCAACTCACTAGTCACCCATCCGTTCGAATCGCGATGAACTATGTATGGACGTCCGATCGGTGTATCTAGAGGTGCATCGGAAGGGACATGCGTCCGCTTCTGTCGCAAAACACACATTGCTGTTAGCGAACAATCAACAACATCTCAAAATGAGTCGATAAAAATAGCGCGGTAAGAACAGTACGAGTACCTGGTACGTACGGGTACCCGTACGAACTTGTACTCGTAGTCGTAGTCGTAAAAGAATCAATTGATTGAAACGAAACTAGTTCTCATAAGGTCGATCGAGTCAATTTGATCCCTCGAGGTTTCATCGTATCTTATCTTACCGTACGAACGTCGAACGTCGACCATAATATCGTAGTATGAAAAACCAGGCCCTTTTCATTGTACGCATAACCTGTTGGAATTAGAGCTATTAATGGTAAGTCCCGTACTGGCAAGTTATTGGCAATTCCGAACCTCCAGGGCCGGCTGGCTTGCCTGCCATGCGCATGTACCCCCTGTATTATACGTAATCTACGTACATATTTCTATACAGCGAATCAGTACTGATGCACCTCCATCCAATTCTGCACCTCCACCGACGAGCAAAATACGAGCAAACACATCAAATCGCCTTCCTTCTCCGGAAGCAAATCAAGCGTTCATTCATACTCAACCGCAA